AGAGTTTAATCAGTATGACGATTTCAAGTGTAATTTGCTGTTGAAACAAACATTATTTGACTCGATTTATCAGATTTAGATATAATTGTGAATAATTCCGTTATAGCTTGAACGTGTTTTGATACCTAAAGTATAACCAGGCAAAGTGGTTGTAGTAGTTGTACACTACCTATTATATCGGTTTTCTTATTTGTTTATTTATTTATTGTTCAGTTCTGTATTGTTTTCAGTGGCTCACTCGTCCCGGACTTGCTGACGATCAGCGCTACGAAACGGTTTTAAAAAAAGCTGTTTGTTGCAAAAGCTGAGTAAGTCCCGATTGCACCAGTCGCGACACGCATGACGGTGAATTAGGTACTGCATTATGAATTGTAATTTCTCAGAAGTCTCTCTAGATAACAAACATGGTCCTTTACCGTCAAATACTAACATAGTTACGTTTTCGAGGTTCACACTCGTGTCATGACAACATAAGGAACGTTTAAACACACCCAGCCTTGGCAGGGGTTTTCGGCCATAAGTATAATAAGTCGTACATTTAGATAAATTTAAAACCATACCTTTTTCTTCAATTATTGATATTTAGTATTATCAATAATATTCACAGCAGCACCAGAGTCAATTATCAATTCACACGTAACACCATTTAGATTAACTTGGTACTTGTGGTTTTTTAACGAGTTCATGTTAAAAACTGAATTAATTACGCTGGCACTATCATCTGAATCTCCTTTTTCTCCTTCTTCCTCTGATTCCATGTCTTCCTGTAATACATACCTTATAACTTTTCTCTTCCTTTTCTTATCTACCTTACCCGTCTTGAACTCTTGTTGTTTGTTGAACTCATGTTTTGTCTTGCAATATTTACTGAAATGTCTTTTTACTTTGCACTTATTACAAGTGGCTTGTAGAGTTGGGCAGATTGAACTTCTGGCTAAATGCCCTGCTTGGCCACATCTGAACCATTTCATATTGACAGCATTAATGTCATTTTCGACTGTTGTTTGTGAAACAGAGGGAGGTTTCTCCAATTCGAAAATTCGAGCTATTGCCAACGCCTCATTTAAGGTTAAATTGCCTCCTTTGCGCAACAACTTTCGTTTAAGGTCTTCATTTGTACATTTCATCTTGCTTAGTAAACTCGCAAAATTTACTCGCACTTCTCAGCCTCAGTACAAATTGATCCACGGTTTCACAGTCAATCATGTGCAGTGCGCGAAAATTTTGCTTTTCATAGGCCACATTAACTGTAGGTATAAAATAGTCCGTGAGTTTTTTTACCACCGTGTTGTAAGTATCACTCGTTTCAAATAGGTTTTCATAAATCTCCTGTACTTTAGGACCCGCTTGGTGCAAGAGCTTCGCAATTTTCTGCTTCTTGGCTAGGCCTACGATGCCGTCAATATAATATGTAAAATTACGTAGCCACGACCTCCATCACTTGCCTACGGTGTGAGGTTCCGTGAATGGATCAAATTGGGCGTTACTTGAGAGCCCAATATCATTTAACGCGGACAACGCCATTTGCAATTCGTGTATTTCTCAATAATTTTTTAATTTTTCTTTCTTCACTCGTCGCCAATGTCGGAGGTGTCGGGTTTCATTAGAACAATACGAATTTAATCAATCAATGTTCTTTATTTATAAGTTACGTTTAAGATTAACAATTTGTATGTGCTTTTCCTCAGCTCAAATCTTAACGTTACAATACACCTCTTTTATTTTTTTTCATCCTCTAAGCAATACACCCATGCCGCCCGGCCTGACAGTCCCTGTTCGTTTGGAAACTGTCACTCCGTTCGTTCAGAAACTCTACAGTAATGTGAGCATTTATGCGTTCCGGTTTTGAAGGATCGAAATTACAGGCACATGGGACTTGTCAACTTATGTCTTAGGGTGACGGCCGCAGTGGCAGTGCACTTCAGATCGTTGCGATTTATAGCTCTGAGTGGCACTGCAACTGTTTTGGAAAAGCGTGTCGCTTACCAACAGGCGCACAACTTGTTAGTTCTATCACTTGGTATCATAAAAAATATAAAACTTGCATCAAATTTTAGAGTCATCAGTAACGTTAAAGACGAACGTCAACTTGTATGTAATTGGTACGAATACATTTTACAATCTTTGATGACAGAAGTATTAAGTGATAATTATGTGGTATAAGTGTTTTTGTTCGTTAATTACTTACGAATTTTTATTACAGATTCGTAACGCTCCTACTGCTCTTCATCTGATTGTAAACTACCATCTACCTATATAAGCGCAATTGTTAAAAATTAAAATTTTCCGATTTTGATAATATGGTGTTAGTTAGCATTTTATAATTTTATTCAATGTATTTCTAATAATCATAATATTGAAGATAATGCGTACAGTCGTTAATTTGAACGAGTCATGAATGTAGGACCTAAGTAGCCATGTGATTTTAAATATGAACATAGAAAATGAAATTATTTTTCCGGATTTAAGCCCTTTACAGGTCCCAATGTCACGGTGGACCTGTAAAAGGCCCGAAACGTAGGTTTGTTTGAAAAAACAAATATACGCGATTTAAATCCGGAAAAATAGTTTCATTATATATTATCCTTCTTACTATAAGCAAATTTAAATTTTTGTGGTTTCAAAGTACAAATGTTTAGTCTAATCCGTGTTGAGTATAGGATTTGATTTGTCTAGCGGGGTAGTAGCGTAATAGAGTTATTGGTTAGTGTATTTTTTGGTAAGATACTCAGGTCTGTTGTAGATTTTTGGTTTGAAAATAATAATAAAGGATAATAATATTATAATAATAATATTTCTCCTAATAATTTTAAGTAGCCAAACTTTGTAATGTTTGTTATTTGTAATACTTTTAATGCTGTAATACCTTAGGCTTAAATAAATAAATATTATTATATATTATTATATATTATATGGAAAATATTTTTCCTTTTCTTCCTGTTTATCTATTTACTTATATTTTAATTTTTAGGCATGACAACATACTATTTGTTTAACACATGCCAAAAAGAAAAGAATACGGAATATGTTTATAAATAATTGTGGTTTAATGTTTATACCTACGATTTACAACTACTATGACTGGCAAATAAAATCCGATTCCAATTTGACTTAACTTTTATTGAGATTAAATTTACAAGTACCTATACTCTATTTCACTTTCACCACTGAACGGCGTTCCGTTACTGTTACCCTTAAGTTAACTCTTGTGGGTGTAAAACGGTCAAGTTAGTTAATGTCATAGCCAGATTCAAAGTGGTACCAAAATACTCATTTGTATAACTAGGTAAACCGGCAATGCAAACACTATTGACTAGATTTGGGCGCCGCGCTGCTACACTGTCTCTGCCGACAATTTTTAAGCGACGGCGCTCGCCGATGCATTTGACTTCAATGAAATATTTCCGTACAATTAAAATGAATTACCTACGTTCTGTCCTTATACATCCTATCACACTAGATTCGAATAAAGATCGCATCGCTACGCTTGCGATTCAGAGGCGATTGCATTGATCGGTGCAAACGCGTGACAGCATCGATAGAAACGCGCGATTGCATCAATGCAACCGCCTGAAGAACTCAATTGTAGCGATGCAACCGCGCGTTTGTATCGATGAAGTTGCGCGACTGCATCGCTGCTAAAACTCGCCGTGTTTCCGCTCTAATTGATTGTTTTTTTTAAACATTTTTTAGCTCATTATTATTATATCATAATAATAATTCAAAATACGGTCGACGATCGCCGCGCATCTGTACATTTGACCAATCTCGATTTCTTGAGTTTTGGATTGATATAGTACATACACGTTTAACCTCACCAGCGCTGACCGTAATTCTGTTGTTACTTTATAATTGTTTAAACTTCTTATTGTCCTAGCTTACAATCAGTAGAGAATCGCACTTGGCTGTAGTTTTTTTGTCGTCAGTTTATAGTTTTACCTGCCTCCGTGGCCGAACCGTTACCATGTCGGACTGCCACGCAGAGGTCACAGGTTCGATTCCCGGACCGGGAGAAATATTTGTATGGCCTACATTTATTTCTCCCGTGAGTTTGGGTGTAATTTGTGGTTGTCTATGTGTGTGTCCATGGCATCGTGACACAGGGGTTCCCTAGTGCTGGGCTATGTTGAGTGTGTGCGTTATTATGTGTGCGTTATATTAAAGTAAAGAATATACGCTACATAATGGAGGGCTAAGCCAGAGCCTTGGGAAACGCCAAATTGAATTACAATGCAATTAGGTTTAAACTCACCCAGGCCCACATATTAAGAACGATTGGTCGAATACATACCCAACGAAGCTAATCCCTGTGGGTTCGTTACTTACTGTTTACCATTTGTGGTAAACAGTAAGTAACTTCAGGGGCCCTACTTTCGAAGCACGAATTCCGAATTTACAGTCGTTTTTCCAATACAGATGACCTACGGAACTAATCTTGAAGTCAATCAACGAAAAGACGGGCACGTTTGAAACTGTCAAACGGCCGGCTCGAAGCTGTCAAATTGCATTGTCATACATTCATATATTCAAGTCTGTAAATCATCCATAGAGAGAAAACGGCCTTAATTTCGGATTTCGTGTTTCGAGAATAGGTCCTCAGTTTAGTAAATTTTGGTGTTTTTGAATGTTGAAGTCGATCTTGACCACATGAGGATTGTCGTAAAGTTCAAGATTGTATAAAAGCTTTTGTGAGGCTTCACTAAGCGCTTACCATAACTAAAGCCATGTTCGGGTCTGGTTCTCTTGTCGTAGCCACGATTGGCTATAACTAGACTTTACAAACTGTGAAAATTCTTTGTTATCTACTATCATATATCAATGCATAGTTCCAAATAAAGTTTGTTTGCGGGATTTGGTTTGGTGAAATAAATGTAGGCCATATAAATATTTCTCCCTGCCCGGGAATCGAACCTGGGACCTCTGCGTGGCAGTTCGGCATGGTAACCGTTCGGCCACAGAGGCAGTCAATTATTAATTACAATATGATCAATCGACTTAAATTACATTCTGATAATCTTTTCTTCTGTTAGCTCAATATTGCATGTCACAGGGTCTTCTATTTTCTTTGCATTTCGAATCCATTGATCGTTTTTGTCTTTGTTGTCTTCACAATTGTCAATGTCTATAGATTTTTGTTCCTTCACACTCTCTTTGCGCACTTTGTAGAACCATCTGCGAATGCAATTTATTTAACAGTAACATGTGATGCAATGGTGTGAAGAAAAGGCATATTTCACTAGCCCTTACCAGTTGTCCCCCCTGGAAGGGAAAAGTGGATTTTTTTCCACTCTTCCCTACCACACCATCACTGGTTGCGATAAGTGGAATTCCATTTCCACTTATCCCTTTCAATAAAATCTCTTGATGTGTATACATAGTATAATCAGATTTTTGTCGAAACTGTATTATTACAGAATCAAAAATATCTAGTTATATCAGAACCAAACCAAAATATCTAATTATATCAGAACCAATTACAAATCAGAACAAAAAATATCTAATTATAATATTCACGGTAATATCTTTTTGATAGGTAATTGTAGCTGGTAAAAGATCTCTTTATAGTCTGAGTCATGATAAAATATCAAAGAAACAGTTATTCCCAAACATTATGAGAATACTTCATAATCGAAAAACATATATAATTCGGTTGTTGCCAAATTTATGACTAGTAATAATTGACTGAACATTACCCAAAAATGAATACGGCAACCACTGTAATACCAGCGCTGACGTAATAAGCGAAACTGGGATTAAATTTTAGCGTCATCATGTACATCCAGGAGAATAAGGCGCCGAAGTTTAACGACGTTATTACTTCAGTCAGATTGAACATAGATGTCATCTTGCCTGAAATTGTGAGCATTGAATAAATTAAGTAATTTAGACTCTGTGATGAAGACAGTAGAAGTGAATTTTGACATCAATTTTGTGAATGGATTTGTTTTCCAGTATTATATTTAAAAAAATAATATCTAAGACTATCAATAGGCTAAGGCTAGATAAAATGCAAGAAATTGGGTCGTCACTTCCCAAAATCTTAGCAGCGTTCTCTCTTTTTCATGGGCTATGCTAATGTACAGAGCAAAATAGTAGTCAATTATTAGGATATTGACTTTGTTATGAAGAAACGCATAAAGTGATGCCAGATCTGCTTTATTTATTAGCTGAAGGTTGAATACCACATACAAACGCAGTGAGCGATTCTATTAACAGATACTATTGTACATACTATGTTCTGTACAGTTATTTTAAAACCGAACAATAAAAGTAGTCAAGTGTGCATGTTTTGAGCTGCCACTTATTTATTAATTATTTCAAGGATTTACAGTAAATTTTTATCAACAAATGACTGTACTAATTACAAATTTGCACAAGTAGTACAAAAATAGGTTTTAGTGTGCAGAAACATAAACAAAATTATTCAAATGTAAAGAACGTAAATTTTAGAAATTGAAAACATAATAGGGACGTGTAGATGTGTAGGGAAAATAAAAAAGTGTTTAACTGTTTTACCAGCCTCATTAATTGCACACACTATTATTCACGAGAATAGAACAATAAGAGCAATTAAGTAAAAAATTGATCAGTAAACCAATGTCTAATCGAGCCAACATTGGTACTGAACAGATCTGTGTCCAAAGAAATTACTGAATAACGATTCCAATTAATTAGTACTTGATTTTTGAAATTGAATAATGTCGTTCACAGAATTTTTTAAATAAGTTTGAAAGGGTTGTAACCCTGACTAACCGTGAACAGGTTCACGGCAATGAAACGGGAAACTTCCGGTCCACAAAATTTATTAAAGAAGTAAAGTTTAAAGAAAGGACTGAAACAATAAAAAGGTAAATTTAAAAAAAAAACAGGTACAACAGTATAAAACACTCCCTACACTTTATTATTAAGGCACTTACCCCTAAATGGGCCGAGTAACTGAATTACAGATATAGATACACGAAGGCTGTAGGTATATAATTTATTACACATGATTTAGCTTATTTAATCATTATAAACGTAGTAAAGAACCAAAATTAGCGATTATTCGAAGGAATTTGAAACAGCTCCGACTGTTGTGGCGGTCGAGCTGGGAGTGACCGTGGTACGAAAACAAAATGAGAAAGTGAAGGAAGATGGAACAGTTCAAATTTAAAATTCAAATACATGTAAAATAAAAAATGATAGGATACAAGCGGAGAGAGGCGATACAAAGAGGTGAGATGACGGTGTAAGGAGGTCACACCGTTACAAGTTTAAAATGTCATAAAACGAAATCTAATATGATTACCCAATTCATCAGTGGCGGCCAATTTAGAGGAAATTGATCGTAGTGCTGTGAAGGACGACGCGTTGAACGTCTCTATTACTACAGCTGAAAAACAGAAAAACAAACTTTGCAGACACTGTGTGCATAATGCGTAAACTTTATAAACCCTTTTATTTATTCTTGAATTAAAGCGAGAAAAGAAAAGTATTATAAGTCAGTTAATAATCAGAGGAACAATTTAAGGGATTCCTTTTAGCCCATAAATCAGTTATTTGGCGCGTAATTACCAATACTGAACATCTACAGGAGCTTGTACACATTCGTCCACGTTCTTAATTTCATAGGTGCTATAGTGACCAAAAAATCAGCATATCCCAAAATATATTGGATTCCCTACTTAAAATCAAATGCTGTTTAATTAAATACCATCGATTACTAAATGCTCGAAGCTTTTAAATCATTGGTGACTGAAATCAGTCAGTCAAAATTAATAAAAAAAATACTTGCCTAAATACATATGAAGGCTGTTTTGGGCCAAACCTGTAACCAATGCACCGGCTATCTTGCTGATGGTGGAAATAAGACCCAACACGGAGTCGTCCCATTTAAACTTTCGGCTGAAGATGGCTACAGACACCAAAGCCCCTGAAAATGTGTATGTGTATGAGTATTGCCATTTGAAATTTATGGGTTTCTGAGCGAGAAGATGAACCTGATTCCTACTATATCTTCCTAATTTGTGAGTTAAATCAACTATAGTTCCGATTTGAAATGTCAAAACTTTCAGATCGGCCAGTTGCGAATCGTAATTATGTGTCTCGACCCTTCCGATCGGGAGAGGCAATCAAAATCAAGCTGCAGGTCAGTTTTACTATCGAGGCGCATAGATTGAGCCGGAAAATGACAATAAACTTACCTAAGGCATGCATAATGATGTAAAAAGTCTTGTAAAAACTATACGCAACAGCATCCCAGTTGAATCGATATCGACTGTACAAATACCGGATTGTCATATCACCTGCAAAAAAAATGCAATTGCATTAATGAAGCACATGACTCACTCGATATGACCAATAAAACCCATAATAAACTTTTTCAAAACTTCGTCATGACTGTCGTATGTTAACAACAATAAGTAACAATAAGTACAGTAGAAGTGGTTAGTTAGCGTTTGACGCGTGCCAACTCTACGTCTCGAATGACCTATCAGAGCTCAGTCCACCATTCTCGCTTTGTGTGGTAAGGTTGTGTCATTCTTATGAACATTCATATCATCGGAAAGTCTTATTGTAATGAATTTTCAATTTTCTATTTCTCGAAATATTTTTTTTTTGTTAGAAGAAACGAAAGTAAAGCTTATAACACTGCAATATCGTCGCTTCTTGTTTGGAGAAATAAATGAATAACTTCAATTCGTCGTCGTTCAGCAATAAACCGCTAGATGGCAGCACATTGATGGAAATGTCAGTATAATATCATAACGTCGTAACTTGTAATAATAGGTATTGATGGTATTGACTCTCAACGATATGCCAACAGTGTAAAGTTTAAATTATATTAACAACACAGAATCAAGAATTAGCTTTTTTTAAAATTTGAAACTACGACAAATCAATGTCAAGATTTTGTAGCGTTTCAAATGAAGAATGTGTTAGTTTTCGCGACATCGATTCTGATAGTAGGTAATTGAGGTTTATTGATTCCTTCCATTCCTTCCATTGTTATTTTTCTTCCGTCTTTCCAACCATCAACAACTTAGTGTTTGCATTTTGATTTCAATGAACAGAACACAACCTAAATATGTTAATGGACTTTAAAAAAACACATAGTGCCTCTCAAACAGAGGGTGTGGGTTTCAATCCGAGCTCGCACCTTTCGGTTTTCGGAATTTATGTGCGAAATTTAGTTTGAAATTTACCATGAGCTTTTCGGCGAAGGAAAACATCGTCATGAAACCTGCACGTCGAAGAAGGTTGACAAGCCTCGGAGAACGTGTGAAGTCCCCCAACCCTAATACAATGCCCTAAACCCTCGCCTGAAAGGAGAACCCAATGCCCAGTAATGGGACCTATAAATGGGTTAATGATCATTACGATGAAAACTTTTTATGCTTTTTTACGTTTTATTTTTCTATATTATTAAATATTATTTAGCAAATCTATTAATACGAACGCATTCACTTAAATGTTCTTATACTCAAACATAAATTACGCTTTTACACACTTTTACATTTAGTCACATTCGTATTTTCATTTACACAAGGGTATCTAGACACACATAGATAAGTACCAATACAATATGTGCGCTTAAGAGAAATCAATGGTATTATTTGTCATTTTAGGAAATATATTGAATAACGAACAATGTTGTAGTTTCGTGAAGTGTTGGAAGTCAGCTTTCATTAAGTTAATCTTAATGAAAATTGACTACCCTCAATCACAGGGTTTTATTTTCATATACTTTCCAGTTACGCTCGATTTATAAATTTTATCTAAGGAAAGTTCATAGATGGGGCTACGGCTAAAAAGTCGCTGAAAAGCCAAACACAGAGATCGAACAAACAGCACATAGAAAAATTTGTGAAGTCCGCTGGTTCGTTCCGTGGCTTAGTTGGCATAGCGTCTGCCACGGTTTGCTAGAAGACTTTTTTCTAAGTGTTTTTCTAAATCGATCTTTGTATTAATAATTTGTGGTATATTATTAATTATCTGATATGTTATTTAATGTTGTACAAATCCTATTTTCTGATTGGTAAAGTCGAAGATATACCAAAAACGGCAAAATGTGGCAAAAAAGGTGCAGTAAAGATATTTTTTTAAGTTTAAAAAGTTAGAATACTCTGTACATATTTACTTTTGATCACAACTTAGATTTTAATATTTCGTTTTAATATTCGTTAGCGCGTCATGATTTCGAGGAGACTATGAAACGGAAAGACGATCAAAAGATTTCTAACATTGAAGTTGTGTGCCAAGTTCATATTAAGGGTGCCCGTTGTAAAAGTCAAAGTTGTCACTTACTCCAACGGAACGAAGTCGTTCGCTGTAGTTTAAGAATTTTGAACGTTTTAATTCTTTGTTATAAAGATTGCTTTATAGTCAATACTAAAACAATAAATAATAAAATATACGTTCAACTTTCTAAATATACAGTGTGTTAGGGCACGCACTGTACAAACTTTAAGGGGGTGTTTAGTATTCAATATTATGTGAAAAACATACATGTGGGGTCAAAACTCGACTCCCTAGGAATGGCAGCCATTTTGATTTGTTATACTTAGTTTACTAGACGTTTGTTCTAAAATTATCATATTATGAGAAGTAAAAGCAGTACGAACATAAAAAATATTTTTTCGGAAAGCTAAGATTAGCGGCAATTGAATAAAATATCTGTCATGTACATAAAAAAGTGGGGAGCGATCTTTTGTGTTGTTAAGATACTAAGTTCGAGTAGTAAAAACTTTTAGAATTGTAGACATACGATTATGATTTTGGTCTTGTTTTTAAGAACAGCTGAAATACTTTAAAATTCATACACAAAAACAGTACCTTAATTTGGTTATTTTAGGATTAAATTACAAAAACTTAGTTTTTTTGGCAGTTTTTTTGGTAAAAATTTACATTCATTATTTTTTTTAGGCAATCCCTCACTTTTTCATACCTCAACATTTCATAATTGTCTGAATGTCGGGGAAACTATGCTGCCGTCCACTAAAACGTGGCTGTGACAAATGAACAAATATCCGTTTTAAATAGCAAAAGATAGACTACAAAATTCTCTTTTAAAAATAGTTAAAATTAGTTAACATGTTCGACTTATCGGAATTTAACCGTAACGACGCATAGCTGAAATATCATTCAACAAATTCAATACTCTAAAACTGGGTTATGGTTTTTTATGATATCTCAAAAATTACTCGTATTTTATCACTTAGCCGCAGTATGACCAAACGGAAACAAAACTAAAATATTTAAGTCGTACCACGTTCAAAAACAAATATGTTTTGTAAGACTTTGATATATTTTTTCGCATTAAAAACAATATAATTTCTTTTTCTTCAACTAATTTCAAAGTTCAAACTAATATTAAGTGATAACATTCTGATTGTAATATTTGCGGGTCCAACATGGTATCTTGGCCTTTGATAAAATTCTAAGTATATGAATGCCGTTCGGTGCACGTTCGAAAGCGGACGCGTCCAATACGCAGTGAGAATTATAATAATTCGAGTTTCGCGCGGCATAGGCCGCTGCGCGTAAGAGGCAGTGGGTTCCCAACAACTCATAGCCAATGAGCTTTTGGCGTTTATCCAACACGCCTTCAATACCATAGCCGAAGTCAGTATCGTGCAGATCTGCAAATCCAACTTCAACGAGGATGAGATTTGCAGTGGCAAGATGCTGTTGTTCGAGAGCCTCGGCAAAGCTGAGCAGATGCCATCTCGCCGGAGGAATGGAGGCGTGAAGAGTTTCCAGGATGTTATTACACTCCTGAAGGAGACTGACCCGGGCTGACTCAGCCCCTGCACGTGCATACGCCGCTGTAGCCGCTTCTACCAGCCGACCCGCCACTTCGAAACTCGAGAGGCGGCAATCGGCTAAGAGTAAAAGTAATCCCCGTGTGCCTGTCTTCGAAGTTGCAAAACACCAGAAACAGATGGATCAATGCGACGAGGACGGCTTTACAAAGGTGGTGAAGAGGAAGAGGAAGCCCATCAGCCGTAACCTGTATGGCACAGCACCGACAGGATCGGACTTTTTGCTGCGTTCGGCAACACCGACGACGCTGCTACATTAACATCCACGAAGTCAGAGGAGATATTGGAGTACATCAGCCTAAAAGCCAAATACACCCTGAGGGTCGAGCTTTTCGAGGAGGTTGTTTGTCGAGGAGGTTGGAGTCCCGCCACAACGTAAATTTTAATTCGTTTGTGGTGAGAGTGTCGACTGGACACCTGTCGGCCTTCGTGAAGGAAGAGTTTTGGCCGAAAGGTGTCATATATTCGCGATTCCACGGCCGGTTACCTGACACCAGAGCGCGCCACACGTCGCCGACTAGTACAATACGTGTAGATTAGTTGATTATTTATTATTTTATTGTCATATTATATTGTATGTATGTTAGTCCTTAAGGTTATATTATATAGGTGAAGTAGCCTATAGTAATACGCGGGATTGTGAGCTTCCTCTGCGTTCATCATGATCATTATACAATTGTAAGCTACTATTCTCAGAATGAGTACGTCACTCGTCGCCAATTACTTCTGTTGCTTTATGCCCACAATGTAGTCCTATTAAATTGAAGTTTATTTGCTTTGAATAGGTATCACAATAAGGTTTTATTACAGTACAGTTCTTTTATTCAGCCAATGTACAACCAATGCATTCAAAATTGCTTGTTGCGTTGTATTACCACTGTTATACTTAGAAATTTTCTCTTCCACTGTTTTAATATTTCACAATTAGTCATTTGTTTAATTCAGCTGTAATTTTCTTAAATGTCAGTTTTTTTATGTCTCCTAATAGTTTACTATAATTTTCATGCACATATAGTAGGAGCTTATAATATACAGTCATTGACTTACAATTATATGGACGTCGGGTCCACGCTAAAAAGTGTCCGAACTTATAGGGCGTTAAAATCGTATACAGAGCGTCATTCACGCTTTAGTCTTCATTTGTTCGACTGACAGCGAAGCAAGCAAAATTAGACAGTACTGCGATGACATTACAATTTAAATTCAACGTTTTAGCTTTTTCATATTCCTTTACATGTCACTACGTTTAAATAGGTTGACTTGGGATATTTCTTTCGTTGTTTGTGTATTAGACCCGTCGTCCATTTATTTGTAAGTCAATGTATACAGTGCACATTTTCTACAATTAGTTTATTTGGGATTCTTTTTATGCGTTTATAAAGGGCATGTCTATTTAAGAAAGAAAACTCTAGAAAACTTTCTCTCACATACCACTTACATAGATATTATTACATTACGTTACTTGAATGTCAGCGATACTTCCAATAAAGTTCATTTGTTTTTATCTCTAATAACTTAACGATATCAAATCAGAAATTAGGATATCCACATGACGTAACCAACGTGGTCCAACCCATTGCTCAACTTAATTAGCAGTGAGCAGGGCTTTGGACATTGCTCATAGAACAGATGGCCAATGCGACCAAAAAGATTTTGAGTGGCGATCGTGTACGATCTGACGATGAAACAAACTTGAATTTTCAACCGACCAACGTATCACTGTGCATGTTCTTATTGTTTTGTACTGAATATTTGTGTTACATACCGAAAGCTGGCCCATCGACGAACACTATACCAGCTAATACCATTATAGCTTTAGTTCTCCGCTGGTTTGGTCCCTTTTTGAAAGCAACTGTCACAGTATCTTTCGCGTGCTTCAGATCGAAGAATGTTTTAAGAAATCCTTTTTCCTGCAACGGTAACAACCATTTCAAATCATTATTATCTGGAAAAGAGCTCAAAATTAAAGAATCATTTATTCTATAGTTAAAATAAATTTACACTTGAAAACGTCACATTTAAGCTACTGCTCGTTCACTACGCTGACTTCCCTGAGAAGAACGAGCAAGAAACTTTAAGAATTTCTCTCTTCAAATTAACTTTAACGCTATGGAATACACTTTGAATAAAATTTGTGAGAATTCTGGAGCCCTGTCGTCTTTCCATACATCTTTATCTAACACGTAGTCTTCAATTTTGTAATATTAGTTTTCAATCATAGCATTTTTAATGTAGTTTTTAAACTTAGGAAATGATAATCTTAATATATGCTCCAGAATCTTATTGTAAAAACGTATACAGTTCCCCATAAAAAAGTCGTTTACCTTCGTTAAACGAAATCGTGGTGACATGCGTTTGGACTTAGCTCTAAGGTTAATATCATGGATATCTTCTTTCTTATTGAAATTATGTATATTTTTACGGGCATATAAAATATTTGAGTAAATGTACTATGATGCCACAGTCATGATACCAGTCTCCTTAAACTTTTCTCTGAGAGAACCCGAGAGCCTAAACGATACACAGAACGAATTGCTTGTTTTTGCAATACAAATATGGTTTGAATATCTGCCGCTTTACTCCACATGAGAATCTCGTAAGACATTATACTATGGAAGTAACTAAAGTAAACTAGTCTAGCAGTACTAGCATCGGCAAGTTCACGTCATATTCTGTGGAGCTTAATCTGCTGGACAGGGAATATATATGTGGAAACCATTGAAGTTTACTAGCTTTTCGAAGTAACTCATTTGGTACATATTAAATACAAACCTCAACAACTTTTCCTGTTCTTGGCAGTTTAGGATCTTCAATATAATATATTCCGTACAGTATGCTGAATACATATAAAATGGAGCTAGAGGAAAATACTCCATAGTATCCAATTTTCTGCAACAATACTCCACTTAAAGCCATTCCAATGGGACCACCTGCTGTGAAACACAGATTAACTATACCCACACGAAATGTTCTGGTTTCTTCACTGGATACGTCACCTATATAAGAAAATGCTCCCATGTACATTGTGATCCATCCTCCAGCTAAAGAAGGAAAGAACGCCTCCATAAACATGCACAGTTCAAGTGGCAGCTCGTAAAAGAAGTAGGTGTTGATAATATTGCTGATACACGCAAGTAAATCTCCCACAATTGGTAGTAGAATGCATATTTTCCTTTTTCCAGTTCTGTCGCTCCAGGCTCCCACAAACAGGATTAAGAAACACGGCACTGCTCTATATAAAACACTTTGCCAAATTTCCATTCCGGAAATGATTTCTTGAACTGCTGCTTCTTCTGTCTTATACACATCCCCTTTTCTTGCAACGAGGGCGTCGCAGATTTCATCTCCATACTTCAAATTCACTCGACAAGCTTTGTCCAAGTTTAGATTTTGTGTTGCAAGTCTAGACAGGGCAATGGGTATTGTTGAACACACTAATACTGGTTCAATAGTTATATTCTCCATGAGAGATTGGTATTTTTGTTTCATAGTGGTTTTTCTAGGTGTTTCAGACTTAGGTTCTATTTCGTCTTCCATAATGTTCTAAATAGTATTTGCTGCTGAAAATTCATTTCATTACTATTAATTTATTACAGTTTTAATAGCCATTTCTATCAGTTCAACAAGCAGATGCTTATCAAATAATAAGTAAATGTTCCTTACATTGCACAAGTAATTGTTAATTAAGAAAATTTAAATTTAATAATTATTTGTTGAGTATTTATTGTTTTGTATATCGGCTGATAAAAAATTATAAAAATTGAACTTTCTTATAATAATAGTAATTAATAGTAATTGGCAGTCACACTTCTGTTTACTGTGACAATGGGGAGTAATATCAGTAACACGAAATTTACTTACATTATAAAATAATCCGTTCTGTGCTTAACTCAGGCCTTTAACTTACGACTTATTGGCGTCGAACTTGGTTTTTTTAATTTATTTTCTATTTTGTACAAATAGTGCATTTTAAATAAAATGCCGATATAGGTCGGAGAATTCGTGTTCGAAACATTTATTGACCAGCGTGAATCAATACATTGTACCGAATGATATTGTCGACACATTGAAGACGTTATTATCGATAACAGTTGTAGGAGAAGCCATGTTCGATAGCGTGTGGTTTGTATTTACTAAGTTTTTTAAAGACAAAATAATGATATTCAGAATCAATTGGAACCTTTGAAAATAACATTAGTAAACCTTAATGAAATCACGGAGAATATTTTTGTGAACAAATTGTTTGAGGAATTCCCTAGATTATTTAGTAATAAACTAGGTACTTATAAGCAGCCGATCAGACTACAGCTGAATGATGATGAACCGGTTTATGTGCGAGCACGAACGGTGCCGCTAGTATTGCGCGCGTGTCTGGCGGGAATTAGTGCGTCTCGAGGAGGATGATTCCATTCATAGCGTAATTTATTCGGATTACCAAATTTATTGGAGTTCCGGTCATAAAGAAAAACGACGACGTACGCAAATGTGGAGATTATTACATTTAACTATAGCTACTGTTCATTGCCTCGTAGAAACAAGACGTTTGCGAGACTAAATTATGAGGAGAAATCTTGAATTGAAGAAGAGATTTTGCTACTTAATTGAGGATTGCCGCGGTAGTTTTTCTGTTGATTGTAGTACTTCGGGGCAACATTTGCAAATTGAATCGGATCAAATTGAATCGATTTATTTGCAAGAAATATGGTATTATGTCTTATGTTGAAAATAATCTTGAAGATAAGGAACTACTACATACTTTTTTAGCAACAAACCAAAGTAAATCGAAATTCTTGCCATTAGTATCTTCAATTTAACAAATTTCATTGTTGAATAATATTGAAGTTTGTGATCAAGTTCAGGGTTGTATATAAGATTTTGGGAGCCTTCGTAAAAGCTGGTTTCCAAAAATGCTAAAGCTTTGTCCAAGATTTATTCTGTCACAGTTACACTTATACAAACTGTCAAAATTCTTTATTGAAAATTGTATGTACCTAGTAATATGGACACAGCGTTCAATGGGAAGTTTAAAAGGAATCCGTTTGCAGGATTATGATATAGGTTCTCATATTAAAACTGTTTATTATATAAGATCAAAATAAAAAACCCACAATAACAAATTTCGTTTAGTTCAATTGGTTTTATTGTTTCAAAATTTGAAACAATAAAACTAATTCAACTAAATCAGCTTATGACAATACTTTCACCTGTTAGTTCAATATTGCATGTAACATGGTCTTCTGTGTTCTTTGTATTTGAATTCCGCCGATCGTTGTCATCATTTTTATCTTCACAATTGTCAATTTCTATCGATTTTTTTTTCTTCACACTTTCTTTGTGCACTTTGTAGAACCATCTGCGAAAACAATTGATTTAACTGTAACATGTGAAACTATGGTGGACAACAAACATTGTCAGGCCTTAGTAACTTTTTTATTTGTTTTTACCTAATTGATGACTAGAAATAAATGATAAGAGCATTACCCAAAGATGAATACGGCAACCACTGTAATCCCAGCGCTGACGTAATAAGCGAAACTGGGATTAAATTTAAGCGTCATCATGTACATCCACGAGAATAAGGGGCCGAAGTTCATCGACGTTATTACTTCAGTCAGATTGAATATAGATGTCATCTTACCTGAAATTGTGTGTATTGAATTAACTGAGTACTGTACTGTGATGGCGACTCCGGATGTGATATTTGACATCAGAGGTTGTTTTGGCAATAGATTTATTTCTATTTTCATTATTACATTTAAGAAAAAAAACACTGTTTATGTACTAAGGATAGATGAATTCACGGTAGAAGAAAAAACAACGATAGGGCTTTAAGCCTCGATTACTATAAGAACCGCAAACATATAATAAATCTTGATAATGATTGATCGTAGTTTCAAAATTTAAAATGTAATAAAATAATTTAAACTGTACCGCGTTGGCATATCGTTGAAAATTCAATATCTATTATTGTAAATTGTTAAATAATTATCAATGTGATGCAATAATAGTTCATTCTTAACCAAAATAACCTAGTAAGGAAAAGCGGTAATTTTACCGAAAGACTCTGCTAAACATTTTCACTTTAATGACAAATAATCCTATTTACATAATACTGGTTATCAGTAGGAGGCTAAAACGACTTCTGAGTAGGTTGTTTTGCTGATATCTGTAATACTTTGGAATATAAAAATTTTCAATGTTTTCACCATATTTAAGAAATTTATTTTTCCAGTACTTAAAGGATGTTATCTGAGCAACAGTATTCATGCATTATGATGTATATAGTGTTGTTTGACGGTAATGCGATGAAATAGAATCTATAATTTCCTTTAGTACTGCTTTAATATTGCACAATTTTTGTACAAACGAATGAGGGAAGTGTTCAAGTTGTCATATTCATAAAGTCTTATTGTACGGTTCTGATATTGATGGTAAGATTCTGATTGATACTTGATTTGCAAAATTGTGTAAAATCCGTTAAGAGATATTTTTTTAAATTCATTTAAAATGACATAAAATGAAATCTAACATCATTTGCCTAAAGTTTAGAATATAAGACTATAGGAGCATTGAAAATTTACCCAATTCATCACTAGCGGCCAATTTGGAGGAAATGGATCGTAATGCTGTGAAGGATGACGCGTTGAATGTCTCAATTACTACAGCTGAAAAACAGAAAAACAAACTATACTTTTTAAATAGTATGTGCGTATTGTGCAGGTTTTATTACATAAAACTTATTTTTCATTCTGGCATTAAATTTAGAAAAGATAAGTGTTATAAATCAATTCATAAGCAGGCACTGCGGTTTATTTTTTGTATATAAATCAGTTTTTTATTGCAAGGCTAAAAAAAAAAAAAAAGAAAAAAGGTTATTAGTAATAACAATATAACGTCTTCTACACTAGCTTGTACACTTTCGTCCACATTCTCACTTTTCATAGGCGCTTTTGCGTACAAAAAGCATCATATCCAAATATTTTGGGTCCCTTAAAATTAAATGCTCTTTATTAAAGTTAAACTGGAAACCTTTTAACACAATGGACATTATCATCGAACAGTCAAAATTTACGTTAAAAAACGACTTGCCTAAATACATGTGAAAGCTGTTCTGGGCCAAACCAGTAGCCAATGCACCGGCTGTCTTGCTGACGGTAGAAATAAGACCCAACACAGAGTCATCCCACTGGAATTTTCGGCTAAAAATCGCTACAGACACCAGAGCCCCTGAAAATGAGAGTATTGTTATTTGTAACTTATGCAAATACCTCATTTCCAATGAAGAATTTTTGTTACCACGTAAAAGTAGCATTAAACAAATTGATGTGCGCGGATAGGCGTGAATGTTTTTTAATGAATTCTAAATTTATTTAAAAAGTAGCAAATTTTTTTTTTCAGAATCTACGTCATCTATTTCACACTTTTTTTGTTTTTGATGCTCCGCAACGCGCTACGACCTATTTGGCTTACTGCAGCACACGCAAGCTATTGAAAATTGGGTTAGTATTTTGTTTTCGTGTGTTTTCAAAAAAAATTATTTCTTGTTGTTTGTTCTTATTTTATTCTTTAATTTTGATTTCTGTGTGTTTCTCTTTTAATCCATTTCCTGTATTATAATTGTTGTGTGTGTGATGTAATACAATAAACGTTTTATCTATCTATCTAATGAAATCTTTGTAAATATACGACATAATACCGCATCGATTAGGACAGAATATAATGTGTTTTGTGTCAATGCATAATGTGGACTACGACATAAGCTGTTCCCCTAATTGCCCTTGTCGCCAATTTAATACGATCAAATTTTTAAAGTCGTAGGCAAATGTTAAGCCTATGTATTTTGCATAAAATTCTTCATCTTACCCTGGATTCTCCGAACAAACATCAACATTTTAGGGTCCTATTCGGGCTGTTCGTATGTGCAGACCCATAACAGTGTTTCACAAAGTGGACAATATCACTTTTACTTCTAAAATGATCCACTGCAGCTATAGACACTTCAAGTGGTGTCAATAGCTACAGTGCAGTTATATTGTATTTTAAATAATTTATATTATATGTACCAATCGCATGCATAACGATGTAAAACGTCTTGTAAAAACTGTACGTAACAGCGTCCCAGCTGAATCGATATCGACTGTACAAATACCGGATTGACATGTCTCCTGCAAAAAAGAAATGCATTAAGTAAAGCTCATGGATCACACTTCGCATGATCAATGATTTCCCAATAAGTCATCCTCAAATTGCTTCTAGAATTTCACACCCTTCGATTAATATTGGTTGTTTCGACAAATTGTTGTGCGGAATGGAAATTTTGCGACAGTGAAATCTCCCAGAAAGGTTTTCACTGGAATATTATAATCGGATGGGAAAAAGTTGGTAGGATATGACAGACAGCTTTGACGCACTGACAGCGTAGCGATGTCGCAAGGTTATCGTGTAAATTTTTTTTGGAATGTAATGGACATACTTAAGTCGTAGGGTCGTATTCTAGAACTCTACTCAATGCTTAAGTCAGGATTGCACTGGAAACACAAGCACTGGAAATACGACCCTAATGGCAGGTACTTGAGTATGATTTCGAGTGCTTGAAACCATACTCAAATCCTGACTTGAGCATTGAGTAGAGTTCTAGAATACGACCCTGAGTCTGCAAAGTTGACCATATGATAATGAAATACACTAATCGGTATTTTCCGAAATTCTTAGAGTGCAACAGCGATGCAAACGGGCTCTGCTGGTGCGTTACATCGTCACAACGTTACGTCACCCCTCCTCGCTTGGTTACCTGACCCCTTGTCCGACGCGCACGCGTTCCGTCGTCTCGTGTCGTTTCAACGCACCATGTTGCATATAGTTCTAATTTCTATGTAGTACAACGCAGCATCACCGCTCAGGCGTCGAACCGCCACACAAAATTATCGGCCACATCTTCGTTTAATATCAGATGAAATTGTAATTAAGCTTTCGTCTATTTTACTTTAATAAAAGACAATCAGATCACAACCTAGATAAACTAATGAATTATAAAACATTTCTGTTTATTTTATTATTATTTTTCGAATCGAATAATAAAACGGTTTCACTTGTACGTTCTTACACTACAAACACAAATTACGCTTTTACAGACCTTCACATTTATTCACACATTTTCACACCTACAGACGCACACACATACTGCTAAAATAATGTGCTTAAATGAATACAAATATTTCTCCTTGCCGGCAAGCATGGTAACCGTTCAGCCACGGTGGCAGTTAATGCTCACATTGCCTGTGCCTTGCATTGCCTTGCATTGTGTACCAATAGGTACTAAATACCCGACTGCGCCATCTAGTATCACGATTAGCAATCTCTTGAGTTATTGGTCCATGATAGTAGTAAAAACATCATGATATTCAATAAAATAGATATTATGGATGTTTATAAACTTCATTAGCAATTAAATACAACAATACAGTGCTCTTTCGGCGCCCTTCTTTTCTCGGAAGCGTTTAAATGTGAATGCAGTAATTTTAACAGAATGGTGAATTAAAATGTATAATCATTTTCCATGCTGCCGAGCATTATTAATTTTGTGTACATAATATAGAAACACGTTACTGCATATATCAAGGAGTTATAAACTTTTTTATTATAATATCAATGACGGGACACACGCCTATCCATAACAGTTGCAGTGCCAATCAGAGCTTTAAATCGCGAAGATCTGAGGCTCACTGCCACTGCGCCCGTCACTCTGAGACATAAGTTGACAAGTATCTGTAATTGCACCAGTAACCTTACCCTTCAAAACCGGAACACAGTAATGCTGACATTACTGCTTGGCGGCAGAAATAGATTAGGTCGCAGTACTTCCCTGGATGAACTCTTTCACAAGGAGCTCTACTACTACAGTGAATCATTTGCAATCAGTGTGCTGATTATCGGTCAATTCAACGCGGGCGAACTCTTCGCTGAGTTTCTTCCCCTTTACCTACTTATTACAACACTCCACATTTATATGTCGACCGGCTAGAGAGTGGCATTCCCTGCCTGCGGACGTATTCCCCGAAAGCTATAACTTGGATCTTTTCAAGGCGATAGTGAATAGGCATTATTTAGGTGTACATGCTATATCGTCGATCTCATCATCACTTTCTATCAAGTGAGATGGAGGTCTTTGACCTCCGCGCACTTATTTTTAATAAAACAAAAACGGGAGTATGTCTTTTCGTTTTAACCTTTTGTTGTAACTGCAGATTGTGAACTGTTTTGCCAATTCATTACAATGGCTCAAGGCTATTACGGGAAGTTAATGTGGTACTTTTGATTGCCTCGTTTACCATGTTCATTTCCAGGCGTTTGTGGATTTCCGAGCTTGTGGCATAAGGTTATATATGATGGAGACTTTTTGTGTAGACGAAAATTGTTTGAAAGTTACACTATTTCCGGTATTACTTGTCCTAGATATATAAGCGAGCAGTGCATCGAAAATGTTACCACAACAAATGTGACTGAGCTGGCTGTGGCTCAGGCACATTACAGACCATTGCCTAAAAAATTAGCGTGAAAATTAAGCAAGTTCGGCAAATAACAATACGTCGTTGCCGTCTAAGAACAGATTATGATGATGTTACCGTATGACTGTTACCGACTCTGATAATGTCAATGAAGCAGTAGTGAATTTAAGCACTATCATAGATTCTATTAAACGTGTTTAAGGCAGTAATTATCCTTTCTGAACAAAAGATACAATACATATACCCGCTCACGCGATACATGCAGCCGTAGACGCATACCACACCTAGAGGTACCGGTGATGATTTTATACCGATTTATCGGATATCGCAGTTATAACAGGTAAAAGAACTAATATTAATTGCTATTTCGGTAACTATTCTAGCAAACCATAAAGTTTTTAATGCCTGGGTCTGTCATTTAAAAAAAAAAAACATCTTCAAAAATACGTCACGACAATCGTGTGTGTTATTGTTTGGGCTGGTGATTTCGGTGTTTATTTATTGAAAACATACCGTAAGTAGCGTTTTTTAAGTTGACCCTGAATATAAATGTTTATAAACATACTTTAAGGAGTAATTTCATAGTAAACGTTAGAACCACTCAAACGGAATATTGTCTTATTTATCCAAGTACACCAAAAATTTCATTAGTGCTTTTTAAGTGCAAGATTTGCAGTGTACTACTACTGCATTTTATTTGAAATGTTTTTGTTGGTAGTACGGAGGGTATTTATTTAGCAATGCAGAATAATAATTTTTATTTATAAAAACTTGTATTTAAACTGAATACTTTTCTAATTTGCGAAACCAAATAGCCGCCATTTTGCGGTAGGAGGAGCGCATCGCGTCAACGGATATTAGAACTACATGCCACATGGTACGCTGAAACGGCGCACGGCGTGACAAGGGGCCAGGAGACGAAACGGGGAGGGGTGCTGTGGTGCGTAAGTAAGAGGTAGCGACACTTCATTGCTCATGTGGCACTCGGTGCATTGAAATCAAAGCGTTGCGATGACGCAACTCACTGGCAGTGTGGTATCGGTCTAAAATAAAGCTATATATGATTAGAGGCGCATTTACAATTGCGATGAGGATTGGATGAGCTTAAAAAGTGATGATCCGTTAACCTATATCACTGTCTTGTTCCGTTTTGCGAGTTCGCCGGATTTTAATTTTGAGAATTGCAACAACTGTGCACAGAACTACTCTTAGACGCCTTCAGTACGTGAAGCTCATTGTAAACCAAGTACATACAACATTCATAATCTTGTCACAAATACGCACAAACACAAACAAAAGTGTACCATTATGATTATTTAGTAAATATTTTGCTTCAATTTCAGTGACATTTAAAAATTATTGAGTTAATTTGATTTAATAGTCGATACTACCTTAGCTCGAATTCCAATTTTGCCGGACTAATATGGTTCATTTTGCTTGAGTCTAGATTTCAGAATTTATTAATTTTTTTGCAAACGAATTTAAAGCCATTGGAAAAATTTATATCTTGTACCTTTTGTACGTGTTTTTATTTAGTTCAGTTGATAGAAAAAGAAAAATTGAGTATGTAAAGATGAATATTATTATTGAATGTAGTGGTTTTCTTGCAAAATTTCGTGGTAAGTACGTTTTTTCTATCGTAAAATTTTTAGGAATCGTGTTTTCACTTCGTATACTAATCCGTGTATATCCCCAATTTTACTATATATTTTTTCCAAAGTGACTAATTCAATACTTACATTGTTATACGGAATTTGCCAAACTCATTTGAGTTTGTATATACTCTTAAGCTCAAGCGAATTTTTGTAAGCATTGTGTAACGTACAAGCTAGATACGAAGGTCGCGCGTCTTCCGGAGAAGTTTACGCTACCATTTCATATCTAGTCTGTATTTTATATTCATAAAGTTTATTATGCTATGTAAAATATCAACGCCTTATAACATAGTTCCGCGGCAACGTAAATTGAACTATGCTCTCTAATAATGTAATTTAAACTACCAGACTTAACGAGGCGAGGTGCAAACTTTGGCAAGCCAAACTCGCTGCTCCTCTACATTTTATTAACCCAGCCGAAAGTCTTCCCCGGGACACGAGCTGCTGTGGTCATTATGGAAATCGCCAAATCGTCTCAGGTCACAAGATTATCGATATAGAGACAATATGGTGGAATGGGGATATATTAACCCGACTCCAAATCAATGTGCTTGCGAATCCCCCACACAAATTATGTCTCATTTGCTCTCATGCGCACTGTGTCCGACCAGCTGCACCCGCGAAAACCTGCTAAAGGCAACGGATAGGGGCATAGAGGTGGCTGCTTACTGGACTAAAGTTACACTGTTAACACTGGTTTTTTGTGAGTTTGTTGGTGGTCTTAACTACCATTCGACAGAAGTATCATCATACGCGTTCTTACTTGTTTTGTGGCTGTGTACGTAAATGTTTCTTACCGAAGCCTGGTCCATGTATGAATATTATACCAGCTAATACCATAATAGCTTTAATTCTTCGGTGGTTTGGTCCTTTTTTGAAAGCAACTGTTACAGTATCTTTTGCGTGCTTCAGGTCAAAGAATGATTTAAGGAATCCTTTACCCTATAATAACAACATTTCAAAATATTTACTTCAATAGAAAACTTTTGGAAATAACCCATCTGGTACACAGGTATATAAATACAAACCTCTGCATTTTCTTCGGGTTTTGACAGTTTGGGATCTTGAATGTAATATATTCCGTATAATATGCTAAACAAATATAATACAGAACTTAAGGAAAATACTCCATAGTATCCAATTTGCTCCAACAA